TAACCATAAGGATGACAATGTGAATTATGCAAGTTAAAAAAGTTTTAAACGTCATGAAAAGATTGAATTAAAAATAAAATAATTAAATGGGACATTGATTTCGACAAGATAAAAGTATCATTTTCAGGAAAATCCAGGTATCGATTTAGGAGATTACGAAAATTATTACATTCATTAGAACCAGAAGTTGTCGATAAATATAGGTATTGAGATGTCTTTTCTTTTTTTTTTTCCCCTTATTTTTCAATTGTATGATAGCAAAAATAATCGATAAATTTTAGTAAATTAAAAGTATTTGTCAGGATTACGTTTTTCCTTTTTTTTTTTATTAAATTTATTTTTAATAAATTTTTCTTTTTTTTAGCGCAATATTTTTTCCCACAGCATATTTCGTATTTAACATCGGGTAAGTACAACTAATTTTTATTGATATGTATCATCAAAATTATTGGATTATTCGTCTTTTGATGATGTATCATGATTACATTTCTAGAAAGGTTAAATGATAACCTTTTGAAATAAGATAGCAATGACCTTTTGAAATAAAATGATAATTTCATTTGTTCCATTTATTAGTCAAGTCAAGTCTACTATCTCAATAGTTTATTTCTTTCATTGAATGTAATTTCATTTAGATCTTTTGAATAATTTAATATTGATTCATCAAAAAAAAAGAATTATTTTTTTAAAATTAATTCCAAAAATTCCATAATTCCTTTCATTAACATTAACAAAAGCAATAAGCAAAAATTCAAAAGAAAAAAAAAGAAAAAAAAGAAATAATTAAAAAATTGATTAAATGAAATGTGGAACCATATAATGAAATTAAATTATACAATAACTTGTTTAAATGAATAATTCCTCATCAATTTCTTAAAAATTTTTGAATTATAATTGAATAATTTGAAGAATTTTTGAAATAATTTAAATAACTGAAAATTTTTATTTATTTAATACTGTTACAAATTAAATTGATTTTTTCATATTTATTTAGGTTTTTTTTTTTCCATTCCCTAATGAAATATTATTAATCATTCTAAATTATCTTCATTTGCAGTTACTGGAGCTACTACCTTACAAATCTTTCATCAGCCGTAGAACAAACTGCAAATTAAATGAATGATTTTTATTATCATTTGTTGTATCCCATTGATTGAATCAATGAATGTATTATGATATCATTTACCTTGCCTTATAAAATTTTCAAATATATTATAATAATTTTTTGATGATTTGAACGAAATAAAATAATTTGAAAACATTCCATTAATTTGCATATATCATAACATTACAATGTTGACCAATTAAATTATTCCCAAATAATCCGATAAATAAAAGATAATAAATATATTTAATATTATTTGGTACAAAAGTATGAACAAATTAAATGTTTAGTAACTAAATAATTATTATGGAAATAAACAATAAGCTAATAAGGTAAAAGTAGTGATGACAATAAAAACAATAATGCTTTTATTGTTTTCCAAATTCGTTCTTACTTCTTTTTTTTTTTTTTTTTCCTTTTGCCTAAATACATTTCAGAAAATAATTTCAATCATTTAAAAAAGTTAACATTGATGTCGAAATATCATTTAATAGCTAAACAATAAATAGTTGTTTGATTTGGTAAACTTTTCCAATTAGTAAAAGCTAACATTTCATCATAATGAAAAACAAATTCTTTTTTTTTGAATTACAAAAATTAAAAGTTGAAAATAGTTCGATTACTTTCTTTTTCTATTCTCATTCATTGTGATAAAATTTCATGAAAAATATCGCAAAGAAATTTTGAATAAATAAATTAAACTAATTAAAATGTATTACATTGCTAAGAATAAAATGTATTGCATAAAAATACATCGATACGAATATATGAAGTTGCAGTTGATGATACAAAAAAAATTTTAATTAACACTACTAATTAATGAATTCTAACTAATTTTGATCACATTTCAATATTGCTCATTTTTTTTTTTTTTGCTCAAACAATTTAATTTTATATTTCGTTTCTTTTTTTTTAATTTTTCTCATATCGCTGATCAATATTTTCATTCTGTGGTAGTAATATGATGAAAAATTGCAGTTTAACTGCTGTAAATTGTAGCATTAAAATTTAGCAAAACATTTATGGTTTAATTCAAAAAAAAAAAAATTGCTCTCATTAATCTATTAATAAATTAAAATTATATGGATGAATAAACAGTATGATATGGAGGGAGAAAAACGAAAAAAAAAAAAAAGGTAAAATACTTATGCCATAAATTAAGCTTGATTCAAAATTTTAAAATTATTACCATATCAGAATGCTATGATTTATTTCTTTGTACATGCAATTAGATTTTATTTGATGTATGACTTTA